CTGTGTCTGTCTGTGTCTGTCTGTGTCTGTCTGTGTCTGTCTGTGTCTGTCTGTGTCTGTCTGTGTGTGTCTGTGTGTGTCTGTGTGTGTCTGTGTGTGTCTGTGTGTCTGTGTGTGTGTGTTTGTTTTTAGTTAACGCTGTTTAGCTGGAACTGGCAGAGGTGTTCTATTCGTCCCCTTGACCATGGCGCTTCCAAGATGCCGTAAATGTCGACTGAGGCCAAGGCGCAGTGCTCGTCGAACTGGAAAACGCTTCTGCTCCCCTGACTTGCGGGCTACAGTCAAGCAGGCAGCTTGAGTTCATGACCTGCAGACGAGCAGCTTTGCGCCAAGCAAAAGGAAGTACTGAAGCCTTGCATAAGAAGCTTCGCAGCGAGATGGCATGCTACTTCGCCGGACAGCCACTTGTGACTTCTGTTTCTGAGACGGCCGAGTTCTCTTTCTAATGAGTTGAAGGCCAACCAGGACTGGTCTTCCACACACAAATGTGTCTTCCTGGCAGCTATGTCCGAATTCTCGTGCTTGAATTGCTTTCGGGAACTCATACCTGTTCCATCCCGAAGCGAACTCTTTCCAGAGATTTCCAGAGGTCGACCTGCTTAGCAGCCGCCTTACGAATTTGTTTCTGCTGGTTCTAAAAGAGAACCGTCCGTTGGACCATGTTTTGCAGGCTAGTCCAGCCAAGAGCCGGATGTTGCTACCTATGGTGCAGGAAAACAGCCTGGTTTCTGCCATTGCTCTGACTTCGGAGCAGGATCTAGAAACACTGTAGACCCCAAGTATCTAATCGTCCCAGGGCTCTCAGAGCAGCAGGTCTGTGAAGTCCTGGCCGGCGCTAAAATCGGCTGCCCGGATCCAAGCATGGGACTTCTCTGCATTTACAACTCAAATGCCCTGCCGATATGCATAGCATAAGAATATATATATATATATATATATGTGTGTGTGTGTGTGAAAATAAATATAACTAAATAAATAGTTAAATAAGCATATATATATATATATATACAGCTCTCTCTCTCTCTCTATATATATATATATATGTATACGAACATAAACAAGTATTGATGTAGCTTCACAGTGGGACTGCTCGAAGCTGAACCAGTCTTTGAGATAAAGCTTTCAGGTCCTCGCTGCGGTGCCGTGGCGTGGAGGGTCCCCCACCTAGCTTTGCGGCCAAAGCTCAAGAGCCAGTACTTGCCAACCCTTACTGCCTGAATCTGATAGTCACAGAAGCCAACGCAACCGCGGACTGCTTCGGACCGTGATGCAAACACTGCTGCTCAAGACGGTTCGTTGGCCTTTGCGCCTCGTTCAAGAGCCTCTCGTTAGGGGGTGTTTCCGGCTGCATGTTTGTACTAAGTCGGTTGCCCCTGCATTGATCAAAAATAAAGCACCAACCACGCACAACCAGAAACAGGGCAAGGACCTCAGACGAGAAAGTCAAGGACAAGGGATTCCAGCAGAGCGCCTGGGGAGAGAGCGAGAGATCAGGCCTTGCGGTGACTCCCACAGCACAGCATGACCAGCGCCACTCGGGTGAGTCTCTACCACCGACGGCATCATAGTGATCGAGCAAGGCAGCAGAAACTAGTATCGAAGATTTTTCAATTTCCTTGGATGGCAATCAAAGAAACGCTCGATCTTTTTTCGTTTGTTTCACCACAGCTTCCGATGCTGATCGTGGAAACAGGACATGGCTTGCGGCAGTGTGCTTTAGAGCTTATAGGCCTTCAGGCCTGGGGTCAGGGGTTTTCGGTTCCGGTCGCCTGCGCTCTTGATCCGAGACGAAACACATGCACAAAAGCAAGCAAGCCGGCAGGCAGGCCGGCAGGCGCGACTTCCCAATCTTCAACGGAGCTCACACTCGCGCATAGCTAGCAGGTGCATGGTACAGTGACGCAACTTGTATGCATCTGTCTCATGATACCGATGGCCGAGATGCTAAACGTACGGACCGTGGAAATGTATGTACATGACATGTGTTCATGCATATGCGCCCGGGTGCAAGACATATACATGTGTGTGCGCTCATATGCCCACATGCATATGTACATATGCATGTGTGTTTGCAAACATTTACATATGCACATACGCGCACAGAGGGTTTCTGCACGCGCGGCTACACAGGCAGCTAAACTATTTGCAGCCAGTTGGCTCAAAGAACTTACTCTTCCTGGAAGTTTCGCTTGTCGAAACGCAACCATGGCTGTGGGAAAGAACAAGCGCCTCACGAAAGGCGGCAAGAAAGGTGGCAAGAAGAAAGCTGGTGACCCATTCCTGCGGAAGGAGTGGTATGACATCAAGGCGCTCAAGCTGTGTTGCTTCGTCTTGACTCTGTGTGAATTTAAGTTTAACATGTGTATGTGTGTGTTGATCTAAGAGTTCCCGCAATGCTGTGCTACACTGTGCATGGACGAGCAGGCACCCAGCATGCTGCTTGGCTGTCACTAGACACGACTCCAAAGTCGGGCCTGCCGAGACGCCTTCGCAGCTAAGGTTCTCGGTTCGGCAATGCGGCTTCGATCTTAGCAATGCGGCACTCGTGTCAACCATTGGCAAAGTGGCAAGAAAGACCGAGCCTCCCAAGGTAAGACCTTGGTCTCTCGGACACAGGGTACGAAGATTGCCACGGAGGAGCTCAAAGGCCGGGTCCTGGAGGCTCGAAGGACGGTCGAATTGGGCATTGGAATGTCACAGTGTACACTGTGCTACTATGCCATTCGGATAGGGGGTCATGTCAACCGATGGCGAGCTAACTCCGGCAGCATGTTGGTACCGAAATGGCGGTTTGTCTCTACACTTAAAACAACACAACTACGGCAGCAAACAGGTTTGGACTGTACGATTCACGCTCCCAGATTCGTGATGGAGTGAGTTTCTGTGACTTTATTTGATGGAGCAAACGGCATCATATCCAGTCGAAACAGGAGTCGGTTCAATGCCTCATGTAGAACTTGCGATGCATTCAGTTCCCGCGGGTTCAACAGCAATATCTGGGCGGCTCGTGCGAGCTTTTGAGAACATGCTTTTCATGCTCGTTTAGATGCGTTCTCGCTTTCTATACCGATACCATTACGTATTACGTTATACACGCAAGCTGCACATGGGTAGTTCTCTAAATTAGGATCCCTTTTAGGGGCTTTTTCATACGGGTGCCGTACTATATTGGGGGCCAAGCAAGGGATCCCAACTTAGAGAACTGCCCTTATAGCACCCTTTGTAGAAACCCTTGTAGAACCCTTTAAGGGTCCCTAAAAGGGATCAAAAACGTAGAGAACTACCCATATCCATGGAGAAGGTAAACCTTGCCGACCTCCAGAACGACGAAGACCAGGCCTCGAAGAAGATCAGGCTCGCCATTGAGGCCCAGCTTGGGGGGAGCTTGGGGCTCTTAGGATCCACTTCGGGGCCTTTTGGGGTCTAGGTTGTGGGGTTTAGGGTCCTTCGGTGCCTTTTAGAATCTTTTAGATTGAAGTACTAGAGGAATTGGGTTCAGGGTCAAGGATGAGCAGGTGGCAGACATCGTAGCTTGAGCTGAGGCTACTCTGTCGGCTGCAACTGTATCCTCGAAGAGAGAAGTGGTCTCAACAACATCACGTCCTGGCATGCAGCTCCTTTCGACTCAACACCCGCATTCGACGCTCCGAGCCACCAAGAAAAGTAGATGCACGATAGAGAGTGTTGGGATGGTTGTCGCATATGTCAAAAATCTGTTTTTCCAGGCTTTTTGACAAAAGCACGTACTGCACATAGATCTGACATCATGTCCATATGTGTGTAAAGGGGTTCTTCACAAGAGCGTCCCTGCAGGAAGTGCAGGGAAGGAGCTGCCTCACAGATTTTCACGGCATGACGCTTACAAGGGACAAGATCTGCTCCCTGATCAAGTGCCGTGGCTTTTTGAGGCTTCAGGGTTTTGGGTTTCAGGAGTTTCGGACTTCCGGGCTTAGGCTTTTGCGGCAGAGATAAGGACGTGGAATAGGCCTTTGATGGTGCAAGGATCCGTCGGCATGTGCGCGAAACGACGTCCTGAATGCTGTCAAAGACAAACTAAGCCAATCCGATCCTAATTATGGCGAGAGGCTCTTACTGTGGGTTTAGGCGCGCTCAGCTAGGCATGCTCAGAGGACAGCTTCTCGGACTTCGGGCCCCCTTCACCATCCGACAGCAATTTCGTTGCACCCTATCGCTGGAACTTGGTAAATTAGGCCGAACATGGCATGAACAGGCAAGGGGCACTACTCGTACAGGGCCGATGTCCCAACATCATGCGAATCTCAGATCCAGTGCCGAAGAGTGCTCCGTTCGATGTTTGAGGCCATGTAGTAACCCAAGATGCATGGTAACATGTGGTAACCATAAGTCTACAGTGGTTTCGTTCAAAGGTTTTCCACTGGTGTTGCCGGAGGATTTGGGGTGGAAGGTCTTCGCAAGAGAGATTCAGAAAATTGTGCTTGTATAGTGCTTTTGCATTGCTGAGGAAGTGGCAGACGCTGATAGAGGCACATGTCGATGTCAAGACGACGGACAACTACGTGGTACGCCTGCATTCCGTCTGCAGTAGGGCCGTATTTCATTACGCTTACACCTTTGAAGCCGCTGAACCACAAAGACAGGACCCAAAGCCCAAACCGTTCAAAAGTAATATACGGGCCTTAAGAATTAGAATAGGGTTTGGGGTATATTATATTATAATTACAATAAGGAATCCCAAGACCCTATTCGAATTATTAAGGCCCCTACTACTACTACAATACAGCCCAAACGCCCAAAACAGATCTGGAGCCGAGCTCAGGTTTTGCATCGCTTTCACAAGCAGGCACCGCGACCAAGTCAAGGCGCGTGTTGCGTATCTTAGGCATTTTGGGGTTTAGATGGGTTTAGGGTTTCGGACATGTGGAGTCTGCAAAAAAACTGTCGGGTCAGGGTTTGCTTGGGTCGCTTGATGAGTTGTCACGGGTCTCTTCTTGTTGGGAAAGGTGCATGGATACCCTCGCAAATCGCAGACATAGAAGATTTTTGATGCCACTCGCCACAGTACTTTGTTGATGCTTGGCAGATGCCAGATTCAGTGTGATATGCCTTGCCACATAGCACGTTCCTTTGCAGGTATGCTTGCCGGTTTCATGTTTCGTCAGAAACGATCTGAATTCTGATCTGGGCCTGCTCAGACATTCTTCCGGACGCTGGCAGTGTTCTTGTCAGGCAAACTCCTACGCACAGTCTGCGCAGATCCGCAAGATTCGCAAACGCATGGTGGAGATCATGGCGCAGGCTTGGTGCTGCATCCTCCTCCTCCGAATGCAAGAATCTTGCACATTGTGGTAGCGATAGTCGTAGAGCACTGCTCTGGTCCCGAGACACCGATAGCTTTTGCGGCCCTTTTTAGGGGACTGTGTACGTACCTGCATTATATACGAGACCTGTGCGCCGTCACTGAAACCATGGGACCTCGAACAGCCGAGTAGGACCAAGTAGCTGCAGTCAGCGGTCGAAGAAGGAAGCGGCTATGTGGTATATTAAGAATTATTTAGTTTATATGATATACGGTGTATATATATATATATATATACAGTTCATATACGATATGTTTTCCACTATACCATTCCACTATATCATACTATATACTATACAATACGGGGTGGTTCGCCGCGAGGACCAGAGGCCCTTCCCCATCTTCCAGCGAGTCGGGGCGGAAACAATCCTCCCCAAGACCTGGACCCTAACGCGTATGACCCAACAGCGAACCCGAAGCCGTAATTACTGCTGCACTGGAATTCAATTACTTACATGTTATCAACCTATCCGCTGGCACATCATACAACTCCAGTAAATATGTTTATACGTACACGCATATTCTTAAGTTCTAAAGCATCATATATTGTGGCGCGTGTGTGTGTGTGTGTGTGTACCTGCATGTCAGTGTGTGTATATAAATGAATAAATATATAAACACAGTGGGGGATATCAGTCGCAACGACAGGAAGCCGGGAAGGTGCAGCTCCGAGATCTGGTGGCCTGGTGAAGATGGCAAGTTCTACGCAGGGGGGGGGGCCTTAATAATTAGAATAGGGCTTCCGGGTACACTAGACTAAAAGCATAATAAGGAACCTCCAAACTAGTCTTTGTAATTTCTAGACGTTTTTGTGAAGGTTGGCTTCAATTCGGGCCCGTGGTTGTAGGCTCGCATCGCGGTTGCCATGGCAGAAGTAGCAGTGGTATGTAGCAGTCGTCGTGTTAGTGGTGTTGGAAGTCATAGTGGCACTAGCAACGAGCACTGGTAGTGGCAGTGGTAGTGGTCGTCGTAGGAGTAGTTATAGCAGTAAGTCGTCGTCCTCGTCGTGGTGGTGGTGGGGGTGGTGGCGGTGGTGGTGGCGGTGGTGGTGGTAGTGGTGGGGGTGGTGGTGATGGGGGTGGGGGTAGTAGTAGTTGTTGTTAGTAGTTA